ACTGCAATTTAAAATTTTTAAAAGCTTTAAATTTTTTGGAAAATTTTGAGAATTTTTTTTGGGATTTTTAATTTTTTTTTAATTTTGAAAGAATTGGAATTTTTTGAAAGCAATCGTACTGCGTATCTGTTTTAGAGACAAAATATAGAAACGCTTGAACATTATAAATCTTGCTACTAGTATTCTAATTCATACACAATATTAAAATCTCTATAAAATATTTGATAATCTGATGTGCATATATCTAAGTATCATTTTTGACCGCCAAATAGATTTTTTTTTTTAATTTTTTTTATTCGATCTCCAACTGCTAAACCTGCCTTTCTAAATGTAATCAGTTCTTCAATTCGTAAATACAAGTAAAATCGAACTCTTCTCTCATATACTGAATTACATTTTTTTTTTTTTTTAATTTTACTGGCCTCCGCTTTACAGCATTTTTAGCCACATACATTATTCATTTTATTCTTCATCATTTTCTATACAACTCTTACATATATATTTCTTATACATTCATCATATATATACTATCTCTTCTTAAATCCTAATCTTCCATTCAATTTTCCTAAGAAGAATCCTAATTCTTCTTGTTTTTTCTCAATATGTTCTTCTCATCTTCTAAACTTCTTTTTTTTTCTATTTACTTCTACTTTTTCTTGTATTCTACAAATTAGCAATTATTTGGAAGCGTCAGGAGTCGAACCAACGATTTCCGGCATGTGAGTCGGACATGCTACCTCTGAGCTACGTCCGTCACTTTTTTGCACTTATTACGCTGTATTTTTAAAAGGGCTGGACCTGCATTTGTCAAAAACAAATCAGCACTTCTTCCCAATAATATGAATCATTCCAATCGGTTGAATCGGTGCTCTTGAATATGACGCAAAAAATTGTATCCGTACATACATACATACACACACACATAGATAGATACATACACCTACACATACATCGATTTTTTCTAAGGCATGCGAAAATTTTGAAAACTTTTGAAACGTAAAGATATGCAAAAATTTTCATTTTCGATTTTTTTGCCGTTATTATAACTTGCCCTACGGGAAGTTAAATATGATTGAAGAGAGAATGTTATTAGATTATATATTAAATATCCTGAACCGAAATATTTGTAAAGAATATATTGTTATAATACTTATCAAAAATCTGTTAATTTTATGCGCTCAATGTCATAAAATAAAAATTTTTGGAGCGAAATCCAAAATTAACTAAAAACCCTTTTTCAACTATTTTTATAAAATTTAAACTTTTATATAAGTATTTTCGTATACGTGGTGCACATTTATATGTAATACAACATTTATATGTTATATTTACACTTATAAATAAGCATATGGTAATAATTCTAATACTTTAATAATGTAAAGCAACACCATGATTTAATCATTTCCTGATGTACACGTTAGCCTACAGATTTTAATGAATGCATGATTGTTTTCAAGAGGCAACGTTTGTAAATAACGCCTAGTTATTACGATCAATAAGATTATTGTATACAAACTTGTCCCATTGATTGCAACTGAACTTAAAGTGCCGTAATTGGAACTTTCATCCTTGAATTGTATAATAATTAATAGATAAATTGTTAATTAATTCCGTAATATGTTTACTGTTTATACAATCAGAATGTGTTAATTGACTCAACAATTTAATGGATAATTTCTTGTTTATTGAATCTTTGAATGCAGTATCCATAAAATAACATTTTTTTTAAGTTATGAAAGTAAGCTAACTTTTGTGAGATGATTGAATTTTAATTCTAATGTGAAACTTCTTATAACTAATCAACCTTATTACGAGAAAGTTTTTATAGAAGTTATATAAACTAGTTGGTATTAGTATTTTGCCTTGAAGCAAGTTACATGAACTTCCCGATTAATAAATGACTCGATCAATAAAAAATAAATTCATTTATGAGGGATTAAAAGTATTGCCAGCGGATTTATAATATTACACATAATTGCAAACAAACGAACGAACAAACTCGGAGTATTTTCTAAAGGCAAATTTTTAAAAATCAATAATTTTTATGATTGAACCAGTTGCCGTAGGACTTTAATGGTTTACTATGTTCCTTAAAACCAAGTACTTTATTGTTATACCAAGTATATAGTCTAATTTTATTTATAACAAATGTCAAAAGAACTACTCATTTTTTCAAACTTTGATGATTTTTTAAAATTAAACTACTTGTCGTAAGGCCGTAATATTTCAGTAAGTTCTATAAGACCATGATATACATCGCCAAAAAAAGTTTCATAAAAATCGGCTTAAATTTTTTTTTCAACAGTTAATTACAAGAAAAGGGCTCGGTAGATTTTCACCTAAAACTAGTCAGTATCATTCCCAACCAATATCTTTCGAACAGTTTTTAATTTTTTAAAATCGATTCGGTAGTTTGTGCTTAAATGTGAACGAAAAGTTTAACACTTTTTTCCAAATTTCAAAGGAACGGCTCGACCGTAAAAAACATTTCTAGAATCACAGTAAAAAAAATTAACCGAAATTTTGAAGAATGAAGCCTTTTTGTTGAACCATGAATTCAATATTTAAAAAAAAAAATGTGTTAAAGTCTGTTGGCAAGATTCATTAAAAGTTGGCGCAAATAATGAGGATTTTAAAATGGTAAAATACTTATTAATTTTATTATCGAAAATTTTTGTGTAAAACAATAAAAACCTAAAAATTTTAGCTTTTCGAATTGAAATTCGAAATTTGAATCATTCAAAATGTCAACGAAAATCTGTATCCGCACACACACACGAAAACATACACACACATACATCCATTTTTTCTACGGTATGCCCAAACGTTACGTCAGAAACGTAAAGATATATAAAAAATTTCAATATCAATATCATTATAATATTTTGAGACTATACCAGTTTATAATAAATAGATATATGTGGCATTTTAACATAAAACAACATTTTACCTCGATTCCAACGGTACAAAACTGAGCTTGCAGTTCCATGAGAGCGTCACAGTTAACTGGTTAATCAATTCATCAAAAATCTACAAAGCATGATTATATTTATACGATTCGTAAAATATGCTTATAGTTTATGCCTTCTAGTTTAGAAGATATTTGCTTAAGAAAATTTTATGAATATTATAAAGTGTTCTTCACAATCATGACATTTTTGAACGTTATATGATAAAGAAAATATTTTCTCTTTTTAAATTATAATTTCACATTTTGTAAATAATAGAAATAATAAAAATGAAAGATAATAGTATTAGCTTATTTAAGTACTCACTACTTTACTAGTACTAGGCTTTTGCAAGCCTTACTTCATATTCTGCTCCATAGTAAAATTATGGTCGCAATCGCAACATACAATGCATCCTTGAATATATACCATTAGGAATATATATATTGATATAATTGACGTCACTTCTGTAGATTGGGTGCCGCTAAATTGGGAGGTCTCGCCGCTTACAGTCTCCTTAGGCCCGTCAACGTGAACTACACCGCACAAGCATCTTACGGCGGAGGCGCTTCCTACTATGGAACCGCATACTGGGGGTAAGTATCCCTAAAATTTATATCAAAAGTTATTCGAAAATTCCTGTATTAAACTAAATGCTATGTGCATTAGTGCATCTCTCTCATTATATTCAGAAATCGATATGCAGAACTCCAATAAAATTCTCAATTTTGTTCAAAATTGTTGTTTACTATTCAATTAAATTAATTAAATCAACCATTGCTATAAACGAATTTAATTGAAAACGTAATATAAAATTGAACATAATTGATATTTTGTATTGTTCATCAATTATCTAAATGACTCTACTATTTTGAACATCATTTATGAACTTTGTCATTTTTGATGTACTATAACTAAATTCATTAGTTAGGTCTAAATTAGGTAATTTATTAATATATTTAAAATAAGATTGAAATCAGAGAACAGAATGCAATTTCCTACTTTTAATAAAACGCCAACCATATCAGTGTGCTATTTTCTGTCCAAAGAGTTTATACACTTTTACGTAATAATTAAATAGTAATGTTAAGTAAGAACTACTCATATAAAATACAAATAATTAAAGTGTTAATAAAAATATATGCATTTTTGATGATATACTTTTTAATAGAAAGATATATATATATTTTATTAGAAAGGTAATGGTTACGAAGTTCAAATTCAAATTATTTAAATTGTAATGCATTGTTATGAGATTTAAGTTTAAAAGGCTGTAAAAAATATTCCTTGCATTCGATTTCGTTTTTATTTATTATTTAAAAAGTATTAAATTTGCATCATGATAGTTCAAATAAATAGATTCAGTGTAAATGCACTCTGCGTTTTAACAGCTTTGTGTCTGTTCTATATTATAATATCTAAATAAGTTTTAAATAACTCATATTTTTTAATTACAGTTAAAGCTGGGAGAAAACTATGCACTTCGATCCACCAAAATAATTTTAAGTCATAAATACTACTATTTTTGTATCGATATAAAAATGATAGTTATCGCCATTAGATGTAAAATAAATTATTTTTAAGTTAATTTGTGTTTTATTTCTTTGTATAGTTTTTTTTATCATTATTACTATATAGCGAATTTTCGCTTAGGTCCGATTCCACCGCGTTCTTTTTTTGTAAAACTTGAATAAAGAAATATATTCTTTGAAATAATTTTGATTTAAGTCGTACAAATTTATTAATAATGTGGTGAGATTATCATTTTGATCGGTTTTCAACTGAAAAATAGTGTTGAATGTTGATATTTATTGATATGTCGTTAAAATTATAATATAAAATATATGAAGTTAATATATAAAACATATGAAGGAAAATACTCTTATGTTTAAAAAGCATCCGCCAAAGATCAATTATTATGAGTGAAATAAAAATAACCAAACTTTTGCGAGCATATTAAGAAAGTTTAATTTGACAGCAATTTATACATGAATTAAATTAAAATTACGATCATAAAGCGACTCAATAGAATACAATATATATATGAAGAAACTAAACAGTTTTAGGACTAGGTATGTTTTTCAATCTTTCTATTTCAGATTTAAGTTGTTTGATTTTACGATTATCTATTTCACTCTGTTCATCCATGAAATCTTTCATTTCATTAAAATACCCCCTGTATTTAGCTTCAAGTTCGGCAACCGTCCTTTCAATCTCTTTTTGATGTTGGCCGAATAATTTTACCGTCAATTGTGATTGTTGCAGAGCTAAACGCATATGCATGTTATTCTTTTGGGAAGAAATCACATCTTCCAGTTGTCGCACCCTGCGAGCAAATAATCGAAGTTTTTTGGCCTTGTCCCTATTTACTTTTTTTACATAATTCTCCAAGACATCAAGTTTGTCATTGAGATTTAAACACGTTAGTTCGTTATTGATCGCTTTAACTTCAGAAAGCTCCTTTCTTATTATACCTGTTTCCTGATTCAACATTTGGATTTCCTGAATTTTACCATTTAGCAGTTTTTTATAATCACTAAGTATAAATTTATAATTGTGTAATTGGGATGATTTGATATTAAAACGTCTCTTTCTGGTTTTTCTGGATGTCTTCGCCGACTTTTTGTAAATTGCCAATACGTTGCGGGAATTAATGTTCTTAATTTTTGCGCCTTCTTTTGCTGCAATCATTTTAATTAAGTTCATCATGCCTCCCAGATTGTTTTTAACATTGTTGGTATTTTCTTGTAATACATCGACTTTGGATGTTAGCCTCTTCAGAGTATTGTCCCAACCGTTTTTTAAATCTTCGTGTTTGCCCTAATAGAAAATAATTTTATATTATCAAATATTTTGTGTATTACCAATTAATCAAATAAATAAATATGTGACTTATTTATATCAATTTAATTAAAAAATATAAATATGACAAAATCAAGACAATTTTAATTTTACGAGATAGCCATGAAAATAAAACTAGTAAAAATTAATGAAAATTTAGGGACCTATTCTGCCGCATAACGGCGGAAAGTACGGCAAAGGCAGGTTACGCTCCGACTTCCATACATTATGCTAATGAATCATTCTGAATACTGTACAAATGTCATGTATTTGCTATTCATTCAGGAGTTTTACACATAAACTGCATCGTCACTTGTGTGTTACGGAGCTGTATCAGAAACGCACTCTTATCTAACATCGTTTTTTTGACATCTGTGCGGCTTTTAGGTTATGTTTTCTATCTGACAACCTGAGAAATTCGCCTGACTGCACACCAACCGCATGGCTTTTGTCAATGTTAGTATGGAAAGTTCTTCATAACATTTTTCTGTTATGCGGCAGAATCGGTCCCTTAGTGTTTTAATTAGTCAAAATTTGACCAGCCCTTCCTGCAATCAATTGACTGACTTGATATTAATTAATCTCTATTATTATGCTCGTTAGATGACACAGACAAAAAATCTATTTAAAATTAATTTCTGTGAACAATGCACAAATACACAAACTAGAGATAACAAGAACGCATGTACAAAAAACACATTTTTGCTGGCTTTTAAATTTGTGAAATCTCTTCAGCCGTTTTTGAGGAAACGTTGAAAAAATTCAAATTTTGACTCATCTCATCACAAAAGTGACTTTTGACACAAATTTTGATTATCATATTTTTCCAAACTTTGATGAATTTTCTAAATTAAACTACTTGTCGTAAAATTGTGAAAAGTATGTTTGGCATGACTATGTCGATGTTTAGCTCTATCATAAAAAAATTCATCAGGATCGCCCAAAAAATTTTTTTTCGACATTTAATTACGAAGAACGATCTTTACCAAAAACTAATCAACTCGAACAGTTTTTTGAATTTTTAAATTTGATTTAGGATTGGGGCTAAAACGTGAACGAAATTTTTTCTCACTTTTCTGCTTGTTATAAAGGAGACGGCTACGCGAGTCCTTTTTGACATCAAATGACTACATCAAATTTTCAAAATCGGTCCACCCGTTTACGAGAAAACGCGGAGATCAAATATCGGCTCACACACATACTTTTTCTAAATTTGGTCTCATTCATTTCAGAATGACTTGAAACTTCGAAATAACATAAAATTAGCAAAATTGGATTTTTTTGCTAAAGCATAAACTTCCCCTTCAACAAGTAAAAAATGTAAGTTAAGAAAAAAAAAAGTAAATATGGCTTATCCTTAATTGTTAGTCAATTTTAACTCAAGCTAAACTCTTAAATTTTTCTCCATCTATTTCAAACGATTAATATTTATAATTATTTTAATGAAATGAAGAATTTAGTTCGCTCTCATTCGACATAAAAATCTTATTTTATAAATAACTCTAACTCAAAAGAGGGAAAAATAAATATTCATGTATATTTATAAGCTATGACTACACAGCAAGTACATAGCATTTTGACTGTTTTTAGTACCAAGAAAGCAGCATAACATAGTGTTGCCAAACGACGCTATGTTCTGGTCTATATTACCGGAGATTTGACCCCTTAATTTGATATTACATGAAATATTACCAAATAAAACTGACCTTCAGTACTTCTCTCAGTTTCATAATATCAGTTGTTAAATTATTGACTTGCTCAGCCGAATCAAATTGCTGATTCACAAAATCATCCTGTACAGCTATTATTTCATCTTTGAGCTGCTTGTTTTCATTTGCTAAGCTACTAACAGTATCTTCGAGAATCTTAATCTGAGATTCATAATAGTCTTTCAATGATGCCGTCAACTTGATCCAGGTCTCAGTGTTAGCGCGATTGTTATTAGAATCAATTTGAAAATTAGAGCCTGAAATCGTGGTGCCAATCTCATTCGCTTCATAGGACATCTTGGGTAATAACAGACAAGAATTTGTAGTAATCGAAATGGGTAAATCATCTTCGGTGCAACTTATGTTGACAGAATTCAATCCTTCGTATATTGTCACGGTGTCTTTCGATTCCCATGCCTTTGGCACATCTTTGTCCGAAAACAAGTTTTGACTTGATCTCTGCAAATAAAAAATATCACAACAGTGCATTTTATTCAAAAATCATATGCTTAAGTTCCTTCCGTGCATGCTATGAATGAGTCTAGCAACTAAATGTAAAATGCCTTAATATAATATAAGTTATATTTTATCAACATTTAAAATATGTTTTGTATGACATCGCTTTTAATATGATAAGAGCTCTTTCACAACACGTTAGCTTTTATTTTTTTTAAATTTGAGAACAGTCTTTCAGTTTAGCATTTTCTCAATCAAGGATATGACATTTTTTTAAAAAAATAGTATTAATTTTTCCTCAATTCCTCATTTCAATAAAAACAATTCATAATTTATCGTGTCTATTAGGTCTTCATACAAAGCGGTTTAAACGAGATGATTTGTACTAATTCTGAGTTTTTTACAGCACGTTTCCAATACAACATAATAGCTGGTTTTATTTCAATAAAACATGCGCTACGAATTTTTGGTGTTGGCACGAATTTCAAAATTTCATTTAATAAACAACAATACATTTATAAAATCTGTCATGCTTCCTTGCCATCAAATGACCACGATTTGCACCTTACTATTCAAATTGAAAAATATGATATATGTATTAAAATGTAGTTTGAAAGTTCAATATGAATAGTTGAAATATTTTCTTTAAGTTCTCTAGAATAAATCTTATTAGAATTTTGGTAACACATATACATTGGTAACAGGCTAAAATATAGTAAAAAAATACATACACATAGAAAAAATTAAGAACGAGAAAAAACATTTTTGTTATAGATTTCTAAACGAGGCCGTTTATCTCCTGATAGCGACGTTGATTTGAGGCAATGACAGGTTAGACATATTTTTACCGTTACTTTTAAATATTATTGTTAAAAAAATTATAACTTGATTTTGAGATATTGGTCGTGGACATTTATTCGGGCGAGCCTTTAAGCGCCGCTCTATCCTATATACTTAATTTATTTTAAATAAATAAATTAATAAATTATATAAAAATCTAATTTTCTAGTGGATAAATTTATAAAGTTTCTTTAATTTTAAGTTACGTGAAAGCAATTAAATGGTAGTGATGTAAAGTGAAAACTGTGACGTAAAGCGGTCATTAAGTAATTCAAATTGTATTTCTTTATCCTAGATAAAATTTTAATTAGGATCAATTGCAATTTACTATTTTTATAATTACATGAATGTAATTGTGGGGACAATTACACACACACACATATATATATATATATATATATATATATATATATATATATATATATAGTAAATGAGACTTCACTTATTTAAAAGATAAGTATATATTCAGTGCAAGACTTATAACATTCTATCCCCACGAAGTAATGCCTAACGGTGGTTTCCGTGGAAATCAGAGACAAGGAACAAGCGGAGGTTTTAGTCGGTATTATACCCAGGCGGTATTGAGTCCGACATACTCAGACAAAAGACCAGTCTAGGATGTAGGATTTCTTTTGCTATAGAAAAAAAGCACACGTATATATATATATATATATATATATATATTATGGCGGATCGGTTTGTAGGGGTAAAAAAAAGTCGCATAGGCACATATGATTTTCGGATACTAGGGATCAAAATAAGATACTTTGCCGAAAAAACGATATCTCTATAATGATTTCTGATGTCCCATGCATTGACCCAAAGATTGGGTCAAATTTTGGAAAACCCCCGCTAACTTTGAAAAGCCGATAAGCCCTGGGACCTCCCCTTTAAAGTCCACCATACAAAACTTGCATTATTTTTCGTACTTTACATGACAAAAATCAGCGATTTCAATTTCATTATAACTTTAATTAATCATAACATATGTAAATAAAACTATAAATAGAACTTATAAATTATTGCCTAAAGTCTTTTTGGTTTCAAGTCTAGAAAATTTAGCACGTTCTCTAATGTTGGCGCCATTACAGCCTCTAGCCAGCATAGAAACGCAGAGACAAAATGCATTGGAAAAACTGAAACAAAAAAATTTTGATGATTTTTTTTTGTGAAAAGGTTTTCTGTGTGTATGTGAATTAATATCCGAGAAATGGTTGAAAAAACACTTTTTGCTGAGTAAAATACCAAAAACGATGATTTTCTGCAACTTTTGTATGGGAGTCCCCTAAGGGGAGGTCCTAAGGGTTAAACGATGGGCATGGGTGGATCGGTTTTCCTAAGTTAGTGGGAGTCGGTCATACATTTAGACGCGATTGGGCCACTCTGGGAACAAAATTCTTCAAAATTCAACTCTTATCTTTGGGTCAATGCTCGGGACATCAGAATTCATTTTGGAGGTATGGTTTCTTCAGCAAAGTATCTTATCTTGATACCTAGTATCCGAAAATCATATGCGCCTAAGCGACTTTTAAATCGACCCGCCCTAATATATATATATATATATATATATATTTATATATAAATATATATATATATATATATATATATATATAATCTCTATAAAATATTAAAAAAAAGATGAATATGACAAGACTCATTAATCGCCGGCAAATTACCATTTATGTCACCCTTTCCTCTATAACTACAAATCATTATTTCATTCAGTTAGAATTGTTATTAAATGTGATTCAATTGGATTTGGGAATATTGTTACAAAAATTCAGAAAGTATAGAAAGTTTTGCTTTACCCTGCTAGTATCTTTTCCGACACCATACGGACCCCCAGGCCGATAGTTGATTATTCTATATCTGCTCTTCGTATCACTAAGGGCGTCCACTGATGGCGGTTGGCTGTTACGAAGGCTGGGATAGATGATTTTTTCCTCTAGGAGGGCTTCGGTGCTGCCGTTCAAATGTTCACTTACAAGGGCGTTACTAGCATTGCTGGTCATGTTACTATGTCCGCGGCACAATATAATTGATATAGTTTTGCAATCATCCTTTTGCGGAACTTCCTCATCGAACTCTGCTTTACTATTTACCCCCTTCTGTAAAAAAGCGACGAGAAAAATATATTTCAAAACAAACTATTCAAGCATTCTAATAATGTTTGACCATACGTCCCGGTTTGGCCGGGACAGTAGCGGATTTCCACCTTGTATCCCGGGTTTTTCTAAAAACAATATTTGTCCCGGATTTAAATCTTTTGTCCCGGGTCTCCAAAAAATACATGTTTTGAATTGAATCTTCGCAATTTCTTGATGATAAAATTTCAACTACGCATCAAATATCCGAAATTGATATATATTATGTTACAATTGTAACATAATGTATATCATTTTCAGATTGTCTTAAGACAAGGAGTTTGCTTATTAATACGTTAAAATGAAAATGAATCAATACGTTATAAATGAAAAAAAAATGGCTATTACAAAATTCTGAAGACGGGTTAAAATAATTTTTAACACGTAATAATTTCAATTTCAATTTGACAAAAATTAGAAGAAATTATAAAAACAGACTTTTTGATTACCTGGCACAAGTAATAAATTCTAAAGTTAATTATGGAGGAAATTGTATAAAAGTTTATACAAGACTAAGTGAAAAAAATATATAGATCCAAAATTGTACGATTTTATATAACAAAAAATGTTATTAAAGGTATTTTAATAGTCGGTAATGTTTAAAAATAGGTTCATTTACTAAACTAAAAACCGCCGTCCCGGTTTCATCATTTCATTCATCATCGCCGTCCCGGTTTCATCATTTCATTCATTTCAAAAATGTCATCTGGTCCTTTTTACCCAATTGGCGGTGTAAAATGTGACGGCCAGGGGGTAAACAAGTACAACGAATTATTTTAATTTGTAATGAATATTTCTGATCAAATGCCAAGTCAAGGTTGTATACAGTGTTATCTCTGTGAATAATATTCCCATAAAATTTATATGTTGCATTAGTTGAATAATGTAGCTATTATTTCTTAAAATAGCCCACCTTCTGACATATTTTACCATCTACTTTCAAATATTGTTAAAAAATCATAACTTCACTTGCTTTTGAGATATTGGTGATGGTCCTTTAAGTACGGTTTACCCGCGAGCCTTTAAGCCCCGCTTTACTCTACTCCGGAATTTTTTCATAGATTTTGAAAAATGTCAAATGTTTGCATAAATTTATAGTGAATGAGTAATTATAGATAAAAAAATAGTCTTTTAATAGTCACTATAAAACTATTATATTGTGTGATGATGAAAATAAAGTAAATATTATTTTCATTACCTGGACATCCATTTTCTATTTACTGTTTTTTCACGCGAATAATATTGGCTATTTATTTATTTCTAAATAGCTCAAATTTAAAATCTGCGAACTTATCGAAAAAATTACGATTTTAGAATTTTATATAATTTTGAAAAAATAGAAAGCTCATAATTTGAGAAAGATGTTTAGCCCGCATTTTAATAATTTTAAACAAAAGAATACATAAAAATAATTTGTCAAGGTTTATTAAAATTTTGTTCTGGGAATGAAAAGTTTTTCAGGATAAGTTGTCACGGTCGTAATAAATTTCAGCTATAAATAGTAAACGGACGTACCAAAATAATAAAAAATTTCAGTTTGAAATACATTCGAATAAACGACCATAATAATGATTCATAATAAATTTCTTGTAAAATTAGCATAACAGAAAATTTAAATTACAAACTTTAAACTTTAAATTACAAATAAATGCCGCGGTTTCCAACCTTTGGGACGTGCTCCCTCAGGGTGGCGCCAGGCTGTTGTCGAGGGAGCGCGTACTGTTTCTAGAATAATATTTTTTTCAAAAAGGGTTGAATACCACTGTATTAATGGCATGAAATCTATTTTTATTGGGAGAGCAAACTTATATCGATTCTTAATTAACCTTACAATTATAACCTTACAATACCTTCATGCAATTATAAATGTAGCGAATTGATCGTAATTAAAATTATTTCTATGATTTCCTTAAAAAAAATAATGTGAATTATTTTAATAACAGTTTTGAATACATTATAGATTTAATAATGCTCCTACACATACTGGTATAGGCATTTTATATAATATTTAATGCCATTTACGTAGCTTACTCTGAATATAATATAAAATTTAAAATTAAATTAATAAATAAATAAAATATATATAAATAGATAAAATAAAATTTATCTTCACTAATAAATTTGATTATAAATATTTTTTATTCCAATAAAATAAATTAAGTTTATTGTGCAACGTACAATGTAACACAAAGATTGAAGTTATATCAATTAAAAGGTGTAGATGGAAAATTAAATATATAAATTCTACAAGCTCAAGATTAAAATTTAAAATACATGTTCTACCTATACAACAATTTTTTTCTGGCATTCATCCATTTAGAAAAAAAAGTCTTATTGTTAGTTTAATGTTTGCATTGATTACTCGACACATTAGATAATAAAAATGAACAATAAAAATACAGACATTATAATATTCGTATCAGATATTATTGATTTATTACTAATTAAATATTGTTGCTTTTTTATAAAAAAAAATTAAAAAAATATTACATTAAATTTTTTATTAGTTACAGATGTTATTTAGTTTAAATTATGTGTATATATTCGCACTAAATATGAGATGAACCCTCAAGACTTTATTAAGAAAATATTGAACTTTTTCCTTTTAATTATTTGATGAATGCCTGAATAAAACTTTTTTCTCATATCTAGATACTAAATACATTTTTGATGCTTTATTGAAAGGTCGAATAGTAAGTCGTTTAGATAAAAACGGAAATGGAAACGGAATATTTTTCAGTCGCAAAATTTTATTCCAAAAAAGTACATTATCTGAAGATAATTCTAACAAATTCTTATTAACGGTAAACATTGCATATGGATTAAGAATGGTGTGCAGTGCACTCGTAGAACCAGTAATCTTGAAACAGCGGTTCAAACCTAAAAAAAAACACCGAATAAAGTAATTGCATATAATTCAAATGTCATTCCTAAACAAACTATGAAATTTAATTTAGGAATAATTTTGCATTTCACGTAATGGATCAGAAATTCCTGTAATAAAGCATATTGATAAAATTTTAACAACCATATTTGAATGCTTATCCTCGTTTTATAATTTTTTTTATAATGTGCGATGAATGCACTAGCAGACGTTGTCGTTTCCGACTACAGCCGTATTCTAAACATAATGTATATGCCAAGAGATAGAACGTTCACAATTCGTAAAAATCATAATCTAGAATTCCCACGAAACATTATCTGTCCAAAAATTGTATAATCTCAAGATTCAATGCGATTCAATACATAGCAATGTAGTGCATTGATCGAAATTATATAAAGAAAAGTCACTGGTCTGAAGGGACCGACAACCTACTAATGAGTAGAAGTTATCCAGGTCACATAGCTGAGCAGCGAAAATTTAATGAAACAATCTGTTCTTAATATAAGAACTAAAGTGACAAAAATAAATGAAACTAGCAAAGAAAGACACGAACATAAAAACTTAAAAAGATTTTTGTATCAATTTTTAAGTTGCTAATGAAAATTTTCATTACATAATATTCATTTACATAAAAATGCAGCCTTTCATATATATATATATATATATATATATATATATATATATATATAAAAACCCAGGCGCAATCAAAATAACAAACATTATAAAGTTGACAAGATAAGCATTATCAAAATTATTAATATTTGAAATATTTTAAAACATTAACCTCCCTAACAAAATTAACAAAAAACTTGAAACAATTACGAAAAACATGCCAAAATTTATAAAATATCATAATTTTAACAAATTTGTTGTAAATAAAAAATCGACGAATCACCAAAAAACAACACCAAAATAACGAAAATTTATTATATTCGATATAAATAGTGCATTGCACTATTCACAAAATAAAACCGGGTCGATGCCTCCATGCGTCCCAATGCGCTCTAAGCTAAGGCCATCCATTCAAGGGGCAACTCCTCAGAACAGTCACTTATCCAATCCGGCTTAAAAGCAGATCTCAATTTTCATGATTATAAAAATAATCCCCACGTAGAATTTCCTATTCTACGAAAAACAAAAAACATCCGCGGACCAGATTATGACCAAAAAGTAACCTTCGATCTCCCACACTCACATTTTAATAATAACACTAGAACGGCAATACTCGAAAACGATAAATAAATAAATAAAAAAAAAAACAAAAAATAAATAATATAGCATCTGTTAGGGAATTCATCGCGACATAATTTAGAAAACACAAACACAAACAAATATAAAAAAGTATAAAAAATTTCTAAAGATCCAAGAACACAAAACACATTACTATATGCTTGTTAACATCTTATCACACACTCAAAAATTTCCTCACATTGAATGAAATACAAAACCGTACTTTTGAATCATATGCAATTACCAGTATATTCATAATCTGAAAGTTGTTACTTCATCGAATTAAATTCCAAGTCAAATTCTTGATGAAGTGTAGTGCTACAAATTCTGTGAATCTGCTAAATAAAGTTATATTATACACGTGACAATTATATATATATATATATATATATTTATATATATATATATATTTATATATATATATATATATATATATATATATATATATATATATATATATATGAAAAATATATCTCTGAAGAATATATATCTGAAGAAAAACTTTTCGCTTTATATATATATACGAGTATATATATATATATATATACGAGTATATATATATATATATATATATATATATGTTAAAGAAGTTAGTTTTGATGTTGAGAAATATAAGTAAGTTTTCATTCTGCAAAACCACTGATGATGACATAAAATACTATGTCGAAACGTTTGGAAAAATTAAAGATTAACTTCTAAATCTTTGCCTTTTATTTGATGTATGCCCTTGAAGAACTTACTCATATATATATAT